ATAATATATATATATATATATATATATATATATAAAATAATATTTATTAAGAAATATTATTTACAAATCTCAACGATCACTTTTCAAAGAAAATACATAGTTTAATCAAAACTTAGAAATCTTCTTTTTTTTTATTTAATAATATAAAGTATTAAATGGTAATTACAGAAATAAATTGACAGTTGAAAAATAAATTTCCATTCTACCAAAATATGAAAATATACTGATCATTTACATGATTAAATTGATATATATTTTTTAACGAAAGAATTTATAATTTTGTATGTATATATTAAATTCAAGTAGTTAACAGCTTTAGTTCTTTGAGAAAAATGGAAGAAATAAAATATATAAAATAATATGTAATAATAATAATAATAATTTATGCATGTGGTATTTCTTCAGCTCCATAAGATTGTTGTTCTTGTTTTCTCTTCATTGAAGTGATCAAAAGCAATAACTCTTCACGTTTAAACCTAACGTAGTTATCGATAATGTCTAATTTACAATATCTTATTATATCGTTTTGTAAAATGTATTGAGAAATTATTTCGATGAAACATAAAACATATAAACCACAATCAAATCCATTATCTTGTTGAGGACAATCTCTTTCAATAAATCTGGTATCATTTGTACAATTAAAATACAACATGAGATTATTGGTAAAAGTTGATGCTATTGATCCATTAGTACCTTGACAAGAATCAAAATGAAAATAAGTATTTTCTGGTTTAGAATATACCAGTAAGCTCCAATGCGATCCACCAGCAGCATCTTTTTTACTCATATTATTTAATGGGAAAAAGATAAACTCCTTACTATGTGCATTAATAGGTTCTAAAAATATATCGTACTGTGACAGCTCTGTCATTTTCAATAACTGAGTTAATTCTGGACTAATATATAGTATTTTATTTTTATCAGAAACATTTAGATGATCATATAAGTACTCGAGATAAAATCCAATAATAGTATCATTGAGCCAATGTTGTCCTTTCAGTAATTCTACATCTGAATTACGAAGTAGAGAATCTTGATAGCTCAATACTATCTCGTTTGGATTTTTATATGCCATATTATAAATGATAGCTCAATTTAATTCATTGTCACTGATCACATTTGTAAACAGGATATCCTTTAAGGTTATGTTATTATTACTATTATTATTACTGTTACTATTGTTATTACTATTGTTATTATTATTATTATTATTATTTTAGAAATAATGTATAGCAATATTCTTGTATGTGTACGTGTATGTGTGTGTGTGTGTAATATTTATTAATAATTTATTACTTTACTTGTAAAATGTTCCTTTCAGTTTTATTATACATTTAATCAAAGAATATAGAATTATGTAGAATATCAGAAGTCCAATTTTCTTGTAAAAATTTATCTCATTGTTAGTTAGTACCGGGACCACCAGTGGGCTATAGTAGGTATTTAACGCGATGACAATACAATACTGTCAAAGAATACAATATTTTACCTACTATCGCCAACTGGTGGTCCCGATGCATAACTAAGATGAATCTGGCTTGATAAAAAACGTGACTTGTAAGCTTCCATGTACATCTGTGTTCTTTTAGATTAGAAAAGTATTCAATTTACTTAATAAGAATTTATAACAAAGATAATTTTAAAATGTTTGTAGAAGAACGATGAAATTTGATTATTTTTGATGAATTTGTTTTTATTATCGAAGCAATAAAACGAATGTTATTTTTTTACGAAATAATGTAGTTCCCAACTTTATCTTTTGAGGTTAAACTATCTTTCATGACATCTTTCCAATTATGCTGGAATCAAAATTTCATCAAAATAATTTGAAATTTCTTTTAAGTGGACATTATATTTCCGTAAATCTTTTTAAGTGAGAAACACTGCTTCAAGAATGGACGCAGTTAAGTTTAGTCGTATGTTTCGATTTAACATAAAAAAATAAAACAAACAAACAAGAAACAATCCAAAAAAACATCTTTTTACTGAACGATACATGTTATGTAGATGTAGAATATTAAAAATTTAATTAGGTTTATTCAAATATGGCGATATATGCATTGAAATTTACGTCCATATTAATTATGTTGTCAACGACTTAGAACAGTCATGCTCCACTAAATAGCAATTAGATGGTAAAGAATCATTACTATAAAATTGACTCTTCTCAACGTACCATCCATGATAACTTTGTTATCTTACTAACGGCATTTTTTCTGAATAATAATTAATTATTTTTATAAATAATTAAAATTCATTCACAATAATATAAAAATTGTGATCTTAGAAATGTACTGATCGAAATGTACGAAGAAAAACTAAAAAAAGGATTTTTTAGAGAAATATTTTTAAATGATGATTTTTAAGTTTAATTTTTTTAATGCCGAATCAAAAAGAATATTAGTTTGATTTCTTTCATTTTTCCAGGAAATTCTCGAAGATCATCATCACGTTCAAAGGTAGATTGAGAGAGTGAGAAAGAGAGAGAGAGAGAAGGAGGGGGGGGCGGAAAAGAAATAAGAAATCGATAAGAGGGGATGTCATAGCTCGAGGTGTTGTGAGGGTTTATTTAGAAGGGGGTCCTGTTAAGGCCCCCTTTTATACAAAAGCGAGGAAATTCAGTGAAAGAGGTAGCAGTGACAGTAGTTTCGGGGTTAGTAGAACACACGGGACGTCTCGTTATAAGACTTAAGTTGCCTTTACAAGCGAACTGAGTTGTCTTTTTCTAACTCCATAAACACATTGCAGGTACAGTGGCGTAGTCCGTTGGTCAGTTACCTTGACAAATTCACAAAAGATGTTTATTGCCTCTATAATCTTTTTTGGAGATAAATAAATTTTATATGCAAGTCGTAAGATGCTTATAAACAGTTTCAAACGGTAAACACTTGGGCATATTTATTGCAGATGTTTTTGGGATAAGAAAGTCCATATTTCATATTCAAAATATATAAAAAGAAAGAAGTGAAAGTAGCAGAAAAATTAATTAAGAAGATGGAAGATCTGAAGAAAGAATGTCAAGTTTATTGAAGATCTAAGTCCTATCGTATTTCATGCTACGTCACTGTTAGGCCCCCGTGACACACATCAATGGTAGCGAAACTAACGGTACAAGCGACGATGACCTACTCCTCATCTTGCTTGCTTCCACTCTCCTCCCTTTCTTCTTCTTCTTCTTCTTCCTCTTCTCCAGATTTCTCTCTCTCTCCCTCTTACTCTCTTTTACCTGGAGGATTCACGAGTACAGAAGACTCGATCCTCGTCCTCGAGAGGGGCGATCTTTTTCCAAGCGAACGTTTACGTTGCATGGGCGGCGGGTGACCAGAGAACGAGGAGGAAACTCGAGGAAGGCGAAGAGAGAGGCCAGTAATAAAAGCATTCTCTTCGCACGCGGAGGTGCTGTCATGTAGCCACGAGCCCCTACCCTTCGCGAGTAATCCGCGCGAATACTCTTCAAACTTCTTCTACTTCTTTAAGACACCTTCTTATTTTTCTTTTATCGTTAAAGTGCTGATAAACTGTCATCATTGGAATCGATTGTTTAATGTGGACATAAGTCGCGGAACCGCGACGTCGATTGTGTCAGATCCTCGTTCAAAACAAATCAACTAAGAAAAAAAAAAAGCAAAGAATAAAATAAATAAATAAACGTCATCCAACGACGTGTCCTAAACTTCGCGAGTTATGAAATTAATCGCGTTTCTTATTCTTCAGGTGAGTTCATTAACATAAGTCTACAAGTCCAACAAAATCCAACCGTTTGATTGCATTCATTTATTTATTTTTTACATTGATTACTTTTCTTTCATGTCTTGTTAATATAATATTTACTTGTTATTTATTTTCTTTCAAGATATTACCTTAACTGTAATGTATCGACTTCCGCCCTATTATCTTTAACTTGTTTTATGAAAACCGGTCGGTCAATCTTCGCCGATCTTTCTTGATCGAGTCGAGATTTCGGACTTGATTCGCGAGCCTGCAAGCTTGCACGTGGTAACGACAACACGAAGCCACCAGTATTAACGGGATCGTGCTAACTAGTCAATGATATGTTAATCTGATCGATGCTCAACAGTTCATTGCTATTCATCGTTTATTTGATATATTAAATATGTTATCGGTTACAAAACCCTGACGCAACCCTCAAAAAAATCCTGACTAAACTTAAGAGCAGAAACGTTCTTTCTAGTATAGAAAAAGATACGAATTCAATTATAAATAATTAAAGATATATACTGTTATTGTTTTACTATAAGATTAAGCATTGTGCTCGGTTTCTGTTAAAAGTTCAGCTGTTTTTCCTCCTAAAATTATTTCGCACTCCTCCTTCCCTCCATGCTCTAAATATACTTTACTGAAGTACATTTTAAAGATTAACTGAAACTTGTTAATGGCATTGTGACACAAATGTTTAAATTTTCATCGTTTGTTTCACTTACACGAATTTAACAACATTTCCCTCTCCCTTTGCTCTAATATATCCAACTGAGACATGTATTTTAAATTGACCGAAACCCTCTGAGCATTTTATAGATTACCCGAATAATGAACGATGAAACATTCTCAAAATATAAATTGCCTAATCTTATTGGGCATTTAATAAAATACCTCGGGTAATTTATATAGTGCCCACAGATTCTGTACATAGATCGTAACAGATACATTACATACACTCATGCACAGACACATACGACGTAATTATAGGTGATCAGTGTGCAGCTAGTGAGATGTCAAGGAAATGGTGGTGGTGGTCCAAGTACTTTCGGATACGATGCATCATCAGCATGCAGCAAACCATATTCGCGTGCCGGACGTACGAGACTCGTTAATCTTCCATGTGACTTTCGCCGGCAAAGTTGGTGCACAGTCGCTGGTAGCTCCTATCCCTGGTATTTTATTTTTTCTTCATTTTTCTATTATATCCCCCATATGTATTCTTAAAAAAAAAAATGGAAATAGCTTTTGATATATCATATGTTTTCTTTTTGTTGACCAAATTAAATTATTGAAAGTCCATTGACGTAGATAGGTCGAAGAAAGTGTTTCGCAAGCGTACGCCAAAACATATTTCTCATCTATTGAATTAGATATTAGTCGGTAGACGATTTGACTACGTGATTATATTACGCTTTCGTTCAACGTATCCACTGATTATTAGGACACCCGCATACAAATAACTCGTCTATAGGTTCATTCGATTTTTTCGATCGTAGGCATGCCGTACGTCGTTTCGTACAGGAGAATCAAGGCTTGATGAGACGTATGTATGGCGATGAAAAACATATAAACATTTTGAAGGCAGAATTTGAGAAGAATGACATAGAATTAAAGTATGATGATTACTATCATCCTTTTTCCGATGATTCCAGGTGAATATCATGGTATAAAATGTTTAACAAATTGACTAAGTTACTTCTTGGTATATTTATCTTGTTGATAAATCACAGGGGATATCAATATGAGGACGAGTTCGATTCGATGGAAGACGAAGAGAGGATTCTAAGATCTGATGACGAAGAATATGGGGGTCGTGGTTTCACCAGTAGGTCTTTCAACGATCCTACCACCAAGAGATTTGGTAAATTTCCTAAATTGAACGAATATACTAGATTGAGAGCGACTGAGAGTTCCACCACTAGTACCACAACGATAGCAGCTTCTTCAGCAACTAGTACAACAACGTCATCGACTACGATAGAGTCTTCCAAGGCATCTTCAACCACAACGGTGGCTTCGACTATGGTTGCCTCAACAACAGTTTCATCAGCAAGCGTTGATTTTACTACAAAAGAGATCGACAGTATCCAATCCTCGTCTTCAACGACACCTAAAAAAGTAGAAAACGAAGTTGAAGAGAAGAATGAAACATTCACACACACACAAATGGTTCGCGAGCAGAATTTAAGTATCAACGAAATATCAGAACAAATTGATAGAATAGACGAGAAGGTTGATGAAAAAGTTGAGGACAAGTTGGAAGAGCCAACGGAACAAACGGAAGTACCGGAATTGAATATTGAGGATGACTCGAATGTCGATAGTTTGGATGCACCGACTTCGTCAACGGTTTTTACTGAAGATTCCTTCGACGTAGGCAAAGAAACAACTATTCACGAGACCTTCGTTAATGACGATCAACAGCAATTCAGACCGCGTCCAGAATATAGGCCGTCGACGAGGCCAGCAACGGTTAATATGGAAGGTCAGCTTTATCAGGACGTTGCTGGGAAGGATCAACAACAAGAACAACCTGTTCTCAAACTCCGTGGAGTGTGAGTATCCGCATGAGCGGTTAACTCGTCAAATAATTTTAACTTTCATTTATAATATTAACGTTTATTTTTGCAATATAGAAACGCTTGTCCTGTAAAAGAAGAAGTAGTTGCACCGTTTTGGGCGAACAACACCAGAGGCGAGGTACTTGCTCTGCTCAATCTTTATCCTTTCGAACAATACGTTCATTGGGAGAAGTGCACGTAAGTAACAATGATGCCAATAATTATTTTATTTTTTCATTTATAGTTATTTCTAAATTGAAAAAAAAAAAAGAAGATTTGTATTTAATAAGTCTCTATATGAACTTCTTTTATGGCAGACACGAAAACAAACAGATGTACTGCAGAGATGGATGCAGATGCGAACAACAATACAGACTTCATAGACTATTAGCTTACGATCCCAATAACGAGTGTCGTGGCATATTTAGCGACTGGTTCAAGTTTCCAAGTTGCTGTGTATGTCGCTGTTACGATTTGCCACTTGAATTTCGGGTTACATCGCGATCGCCTCGTACCCAAAAACAAAGGCTAAGAGTCCTGCCACCTCGTTCGAAATTTTTCTAATGTTAAATGACAAAATTTTATACTGAGTTAATCACGAAAATAAGTACGCAATGAGGTCTAGATAACTACATATTGTTTAGCTTCAATACAGATTATTACAATTAATAAAACGTACAAGACTGTCACAATAAGAAAGAAAAGAACAAGTGAAGCAGTTTGTTTTATAAGTTTACATGATACTGCACATTGTATATATAATAATATATATTCTTAATAATACACAAATCTATATATAAACAAACAAAATTTTCATATACACGTTATTGTATAAAAATTTAGATTTATTCGCATCAGTGAGTAACGAAGATATTTGATTTATTTGTACTTAATAGGAAAATTTGATAATTTATACTTAAGATAATGATTTATTATTAACTAGCTTATGATTAATCTCAAACGCAATTCTTTAACCATATTTAATACCAAAATAAGTACAACCGTACAGTAGGATCGTTTGACACAAGAAATATTAATATATAATATATAATACCTATATATATATAGATATACGTACCAGATTGCTATTTAAATAATAACAAATGTCTTCTCATATAATATTTGTTATTTAATTTAAAAAAAAAAAAAAAAAAAAAAAAAGAAAAGTATAAGGCTCGTGAGTAAAATGAATTAACACCACACATATCTCTCGTTACTTTCATTTATTAATAATTATTTGCGTTTGAACGATTTATATACATTTATAGATACACGCATCATGCGTATTTTCCTTGCACGCGATTCGCCGACTTAATTATCTATGATTATATATAAGTATATATAATATAGTAACAACAGCCAATACAGAAATTACTCGTAATTACTTGAAAACATATAATTAATTATTTTTACTTATTAAGCTTTATTTCTTCTTTTTTTAGTGAGTACATTAACTCATTTATAACAAATTTCTTGTGACTCAACGCATGATTTACTCACAACTCTGTTTTAATATTCTGTTTCGTGTAACGATTTAGAATTCTTTTAGTTAACGGACTCGATTCTAATCATTTTATCCGATATTTTTTAATAATTACTTTATGCAAAAAGAACAGATAACACAAGCGTAGATTAATGCGACGAAATAAACTTTTATTGTAATCATAACGAATAATAAACATTCACGTTCTTTCGAACGTTGATTTTATTTACGCCGAAATAGCGCAATAGTAATATCAAATAATTATCGTACAATAATCAATGTTATGTATGCATATACACAATGGTGTATTTATTTAATCTATAAATATGTGTTTATTCGCGTATGTATTATATAATATAATAATAATAATAATAATAATATAATAATAATAATAAACATAATAATATTATATTAATAGTATAATAATAATAATAATAATAATAATAANATAATAATAATAATAATAATAATAATAATAATAATAATAATAATAATAATAATAATAATATTAAAATAATATTAATAATAATAATAACAATAATAATAATAACATATGAGAGGGACGTTAAATCATTAATATCACGTCGTAATACATGTATGTACATATTATATTGTTAATATATAGATATATACACACACATATTCAGTATACGCATGTATGTATAAAGAAGCGGTGTATATAAATACAAAAACAATTATAAATATAGATTAAAATATATTTGGTATCAAAACCATTGCAGGGAAAACGTTTGAAGGAAGAAAACGTAGTATCTATATACATACATATAAATGTATATTTATATATATATTTAGTAAATCGCTTTGAATTATTCTCGCAATAGTAAGTAAGACAAAATAACATAAGTGCCTATGTTTCTTGATTAACAAAATGTTTATATAAAGTCAAGCGGATAAATAAAGTGAACCTTTCCGTTAACGAAGAATACGAAATTCATTGTCGAGTAATTATTTTCCTATATATATATATATATATATTTATATTGCATTTTAAACCTGTTCTTTTTTTTTTTTTTTTTTACTTCACATTTTTCTTATTAATATTTAATAAACATTAATTTAATCGAAGAATAAAATATAAAGATATTTATCTTTTATACCCCATTTCGATTTTTGTATGCAGTTTTAATACACATCGAGTAATTAATAATATGTTTCGACGAAGAACATTGAATAAAAGAAGTCGGCGCATAAATAAGTAATATAGCTACTTAATTGTAAGAAGATAAAATGTTAATCAATACAAATCTCAATTTTATCTTATACAAAGAATAAAAGGATATACTTCATTATTTTCAAAAGATACAAATAATGTTGTGCACTCGGGCGATTGTTGAAATTAAGGAACGTTCATAATAAGGACTACGACGCTCAATTATATAAAAATGCGTTTTAACGTTTTCTTTTTTAATTTTCTTTCTTTTTTTTTTTAATGATTGTACGTATCACGATGATTTTCAACGATATATTTTTTTTTTTATATTTTTATATTTTTTATCTTTTTTTTTTTTTTTTAATATATCAGGCGGGATTTTATTGCGGAGATTTCGTATTAAAAGATACCGTCATTCGTCTGATTATTATTATTATTATTATTTTTTTTTTTTTTTTAAGAACAATGAAGGATTTAACAGGCAGTATACAAGTGTCTGTATATGTGTTTTGTATATGTGTGCTTGTGTGTATGGCAGGAAGAAATATAGGAAGACAATAATTGGCTCATAAAATAAAAGATAATATAAAGAACAAATAATTTGAGGTTCTCTCAATTTTCTTGCTATTTATGACTCTTTAAAAAATATATCTTTTCAAATAATGATGTATATAATAAGGAATAAAAATTGTGTTGAATGAATATATATATATATATATATATGGAGGGGAAAAAAGAACCCTTAGGACATCCTAATGTTAGGAACAATTGATATCGGGAAATGTGGGTAATGTAAATACAAAAAGGAGTAAACGATAATAATCACAATAATGGATCACAATATCTCGTTCATTATTTATCCAAATACTGTAAATTAAAACTCCATTGTTTTAGTTTTTCATTGCGACACACTTATTTCTGTTTATAGTGTACTTTTGTTTCCTTTTTCTTTTTCAATAACAATTAATTTATCGATCATAATTCGACGATAGAAGAATATTGCACTAAGTTTTAATTGCAAACATTGTTTTTGTATTTTTAATACAAATGTTTTCATTTAAATAATTCGCTATGTGTTTGTGATTCGCACGTTTAGTTTAGAGACTATTCTCGATTGTTTTTACTAATTAGTAATAATAATACATCTCTCTCTCTCTCTCTCTCTCTCTCTCTCTCTCTCTCGTAGTATATCAAACCTCGTGAAAATTGTAACAAATTCAAATCTCTCGGTGCATCGCCAGGAAGGCATCGATCATTTATTACCCGTTACTTTTGCCTGCAAAAGTTATGATATATATATATATATATATTTATTTATTTATGTTTGCATATAAACCGTCGTATATTAGAATTAAGGAACGTGCACGGTTTATTTATTAAATGTTAATAAAATTAAAATGTTAAATAAATGAGAAAATTTCTGTAGAAAATGCAAACTCTTTCACGGGTAGAGTTTATCTCTAAAATATATAAACACTATTGTTCCTAATATTTGCAAAAACGTTTTTGCATCTAAGTTTATCAAATACTATTACAGATTTATCAATTGGAAGACTTGGAAGAGACATAACGCGAAGGGAGAAAGAGAAAGAAATAGGATTATGGAGAAATGATCAAATTGATGATACAAGTAATCATTTTTGGAGGAAGTGATACGACAGATGAAAGTGTTTAAAAAGATAATAATGGAGGGGGGGTGGTGGTGGTGGTAAGGGCGTGGTGATAGGTATACACATGATCACTACAAAATTTAACATAGAAGATAGAAGAATACTATCGAAGACTAGTCGTGATCTACGTTCGGAATATGTATTCGCAATCACGATTAATGTTTCGTGCTAAATCGCGTTATATTATTCGAACGAGACCGCCGTTTTTTCCGCTTCTCCGCTACATAATATATCACCATCAACGCTTCAATGATTATTAATTATTATTATTATTATTAGTATCGTCTTATTATCTTATTATATGTGAATTCTGAGTGCACCCGGCTTATGCACCAATTATATCTTATATATAGAATTATAATTACTAGATTTGAGATCCAAGTGAACAAAGTTTATGATGAACAACATTGACAATCCTACTTTGCTTTCATATTTCATTTCTAAATTTTGAAGAATTTTCGATAAGTTTTATGGTACATGTGTATTTTTTTTTATATGTTATTATTATATTATTCCGTTTTATCTCTCTCTCTTTCTCTCTCTCTCTCTCTCTCTCTCTCTCTCTCTCTGTTCACTTGTTCTTTTGATTGCAATCAATCATGCTGAGAATGAGACGATTAGTCATCTCTTTCATTTCTTTCGTAAATATACGCACTTGTGTGTATGTGTCGAACAATTTATATATATATATATATATATGTATATATATAAAAAATGTGTGCTTTAAGTGCGAAATATCAAAAAGTGTGTTATTAAATACATGACATCTATATACTCATCTATATATAAGTATTGCCGAAAATATGCATTTATTGTTATAATATACTATATATGTGTGTGTATATCAATATATGTATATATATGATACATTTTTAGATGTATTACATATATAAATATATTAACATTTATAAAGAATATTTCGATATTTCTATTACGAACTCTTAAAACTTAAATAGATCAAGTTTTGAATAGAAACTAATTTCATCTACTCAGTCTCTTCTACAAGTTCTAAGAATTTGTAATAGATTTTTCGAAATACTTTGTATGTACGTATAGAAGAATTGTTAAGTTGATATGTCGTCGAAATAGTAATCTTATACATATCACAGTACTGTGATCGAGAATAATCATAATCACACGTTATCTTTCTTTTTTCTTCTTTGATACTACTATTTTGCGCTTCGCTTAGCCCTCGATTTCATTTCATTTCATTTCATTATATTTCTTCCTTCCTTTTTTCTTCTTATTTTATTTATTTCTTTTCTTTTATATATATATATATATCGAAATAGACACAAGGAAAATGTGATTTTTTTTTTAGCGAGGCACATATTTGAGCTAAACTTGAAACCGAAGTTAATTACGAGGGAAAGCAAGCTTTTCTTTTTTTTTTTTTATAAAATTTTAATCAAACATAGAGAGTTTCATTCTTTTTTTTTTTTTTCTTTTTCTTGATAAGGTTTTAATAAAAAATGGAATCAAATGTAAAATAATTATTATGCTTATTGGAAAAAGAGCCGTCATTTTTTTTTTTTTTTTACAAAATAATTTTTCATGCAAACATATTGTAGTTTTTCGATTGTACGTGATTATAAAAAATTTGTCTTTCAATTAGAAAAGCTAAAGCGAAAGTACTCGTCACTTATTTTCCTTTGGATAAAATACTTGGCCCTTAATTAAGTTACTTTTTCTAAATAACCTTTATAGCGAAATTATACATTGATAATTGATCCATTTCGCTTTTTGTATCAAAAAGTATATCTAATTCTGTTAAGTTTCTTGGCTCTATAATAAGAATAAATGTAATTATTATTCTTACGAATTAGTTTTAAATATTCTTTTAATTTTTGGTCTCGTTTGTAACTTATGCCTAAATATTGTCTTGTCAAAAACAAAAACAAAAACAAAAAAAAAAACTAAATTTTACGTAAATCAATATCTCACGTCACATGTCAATATCTAATTTGTATTGTTCTTTTTGTTTTTTTTTTTCTTTTTAATTTCTTTACTTTCATATGCTGCACCACACACACACACACGATTTGCAATGAATTATTTTAAACAATATATTTGTGTGTCGAGATAATACATATAAATATATTCTTCGATTTCAAGAAGGTTTGTTGAACCGCTCAAAATATGTTATAGAAAAATAATTTCTTTTTAAAATAGCTTCTTTTTTTTTTTTATCGATGAAGAACAAATAAATTTCGCGGCCCGTGAATAGCGATAACAATCAATCAACAACCATTAATTTTTTTTTAAAGAAATGCTAGCCTTCGATTGAAGTAGTTATGTGTTTACATAGATGTTTACGTTTTTTTTTTTTAAATAATCGATCATCATTCATACATAATTAATACGATAGAGATACATTGAACGTATCATCAAATTTAAAATGGACGAAAGAGTTTTATCTATATCCAGAATATTTCAATTGATACATATATATATATATATATATATATATAAACATTTTGTAAAAAATAAAATTAATAAATAATAAATTAATGAATTAAAAATACTTTTGGCTTGGCATTTATAAATCAAATATATAACGATGAAAAAATATCTTTGTATCAATTTCATCTGGATTTAGATATTTCAGTACTGCACAATTTCATTATATATATATATATATATATATATGTATAATAAAGTATACTTAAATAATTATCACTTGTATTTAAAATTAATCTTGCATCTTAAGCTCGTTAAAAAAAAAAAAAACATTATAATAATACGAATCTAATATGTTAACACATCTTAAAAAAGAAATACCAATAATAAAATTATTACATAATTATTTAATTATTTTAGAATTGAATTAAAATTCTAAAATAAAACTATAAACTATCAATTAAAGCTCATCCGAAATAATAATAATAATAATAATAATAATAATAATAATAATAATAATAATAATAATAATAATAATAATAAAAAAGAAAAGACTTTAGACGTAAAATATCTTTTTATCCAATAATAATAGCATAATAATACGAGCTATAAATTTATCACATTTTCACGATTCAACAAGTTTTGAATGAAAAAAAAAAGAAATTTTAGAGCTAAATAGTCTTTTAGTCTAATAAAAATAGAATAATAATACAACTTACAAATTTATCACATTTTGACGAATCTACAAATTTCGAAATACAAAAAAGTTAACTTTAGAAATAAAGTTTGTCCTTTTTCGTCAAATTAGAATCACATAATATGACTTAATATTGTTTATCACATTTTGACAATGCAACAACGATTTGACAATTTTTAAATAATTTTTTTCTTCTTCTTCTAATTTTCTTTTTGTAATTGTTTGAAAAAAATGACGGAGGAGTTTTAATATGCTGTTCATTTCTATAACCAATGCCTATTGTTCCCTACGAGGTATTTACAATTCGATAGAAGGAACTGAGTGTTATTTCAATTCCATTGACTGTTTCTATTATCAATTCCATGCTTCAACAATTTATAACTTTTAACTCTCCAAACCAACTCAGTAACAATATGTACTTAACAACATGTATATAAACAATAAACTAATCAAAATGTGTGGGTGAATACATATATATTATATATGCAGGGTATCTCAAAAGGTAAATACATTTTTTTTAACACTAAACCTACCGACATTTTATATAAACCTATTCCTACCATGAGCGATCAAATATAATCTCTTAAAAAAAAAAAAAAAAAAAAAAAAAAGAAGAAAATCATTTATTTTAATAAAGGATGAGATTTTGGCCAATTGAATAGTAAACAATATATTTTCTTTTATTTAGAAAAAAATAATATAAATTTTATGCGTTTTTACTACATTTTCTTTTTTTTTCTTTTTTTACAAATTACAAGATTCTTACAAATTACCACATTTTTACGAATTACCGGACGTGGTCAATTTGGACCACGCGTGGTAGGTTTAGTGTTAACAAATGGCAGTAATAATTCAATTTTGTAAAAAGTGGCACTTTGTCTGCTTATTTATAACTCTATCTAACTGTCAATGATAATTATTTGTGATTGCTTGTCATTTGTACAATAAGTCTTAAAAAAAAACACAACTTTTTAGAAAATCTTTGTAACTCTTAAGTTAAAGTCTTTTTTGGTCAGAAGTTTATTGACCCACTTTATCTCATTAATATGCAATAAAATTTCAATTCATACCTTTCGGGATATCTTGTATATATTCATATATGTATATTTAGAGTTTCCCATGCTCGTATATATATATGTCCAAGTAAATATCTTATAACTGGTTGCAGTTATAAAAAAAGTTTAACAACAAAAAATTATTCTTCTATAATTATATAAAATATATAATTGTTTTTTGTAATATTTTGCATTGATTATAAGACAATCCAACACTTAATAATTAAATTAATCAATTTTTCATTAGACAATTTGAAAAAAAAAAAAAAAAAACAAATAGTCGTCAGACTTGAAATCAGAATTATAAACTATTAACTTGTAAAAATTTACAAATACAGTGATGCCTTATA